ATGCCACATTTAGCAGCGCTTTTCTAAAAGCGTTGTCTAAAGTCTGCTATTTTTTTCCTGACTCTTTAGCAGCACTTTTGCAAAAAGCACTGTCTTTTCTGCGCTGCCAAAAATCATTTCTGTAGTAGTGGCGTGAGGTAGTGAATCATTTCACTGAGATTTTTAAAGAACATAATGTTGATAGACCTTGTTTGGATGGTGTGGTCTTCCGATCTCTTGGGACGTAGATAATCTTTTTTTATCGGAGCTTGGTTGTGCAGTGTTCTAGTGTGATAGTAACAAAATTCTAATTCCAGATGATTTGAACTCCTTTTATTAAAAATCTAGAACAGACTTAAAGTTGACTTGGGGGGCATAATTGATCAATTCCGTTATTTTACATATCCGCCTAGTAGTTTTGCATCTTACTTTGTCACTCTAATCCCTAAGGTTAATTACCTCTCTCATCTAGAAGAATGTCAACCTATTTCTCTAATGGGATCCATGCATAAGTTGGTGGCTAAAGTGTTGGCCATTAGACTTGGGTCAGTGATAGAGAAGCTTATATTCCCTAACCAATCATCTTTTCTTATGGGAAGAATATTGGTTGATGGAGTGGTGGATGTGTTTACTTGTATTTTTAGTAAACAATCACAATTTTAATTCACTGAATGGATTAAACTTGAAAAAATCTTAAGGACAATTTGTGTAGGAAAGTGCAATAAAAAGTGTTCTTGATTTGTCCTTAAATGTTTGAAAAGTTAACAAATTGGACGTAAATTGTAATTGAAACAATGTGAAATTGCTTTGGAAGAAGAAATCAGACAAAAAGAATAACAAATGTCATAAAAGTAAATGCTTTAATTGAAAACACTTAAAGAATGTAAAGGAAAGATGCAGACATACATTTTCTCACAAACTATTTCTCTCTGTGACTTGGATACTTTATTTCTATAAAGAAAAAATAAAATTTGTGACCCTGATCACAATAATGAGATCAAATTATATACTAATATAAGGATAATCATCGACAACGATTATTCCCTTTTTTCTTGAAGTTAGAGACTAAAGGAGGGGATTTTACACTTAGAATCAACTACAACCCTAATTTAGCAACTTCTTGAACTCTGTAATCTTCTTGACTTAGTCTCAACATAACATTAGAGACAACTTAGGATAACTTCGCATGGCTTCAATGATCAAGAACGAAGTCTTGAGCCCTTTCAAATCCATAGTTGACTTTTTGTTGACCAGATGAAACCCTAACACCTTATCCACTGACTGAGGTTCTTGCAAATGACTTATGTGATCACACCAAATCCAAAGAGGAGCCCTAGGGTAAGAAAAGAGCCCTTGAACCATGTATCATCCAAGGAAATGACCTCATGTGCCTTCACGCATCTTCAAGATAGGAGATGATACTCGTACACAAACTTTCTCCCCTCAAGGAGCTTTGAGACCCAACTCTAATGATGATGGACTCTTGATGGCTTGAAAATGTAACCTTGCTTGAGCTTGAACATAAAACTATTCTCTTGAGTGGCAAAAACAACATCTTGATCCCCTGTCTAGAACCAATGCTATGCAAATGCAAAATGCTAAATGATATGAAACATAAGCCAAGCCAAAAGAAAAGGTTGGGTAAATTTTGGGGTGCAACAGCTGCCCCTATTCAAACGACTTGGACCTGAATGTATGAAAAACAACCGCTTTTAAAAATTCAAGGTAGAAGGTGATTGAATACAAAAGAACCCAGAAATTTGCAAACCGCGAAATAGTAAACTGTAGAATCTGTCCACCAAAGTGGAATCACCATGGGAATATATCTGAAAGTTATAAGAAAATAGCCAACTAACCACCAGTTAGAAACCTTTTTAGAAACGAGTATGTTTTATCCATATGGATATGAAACAAACAAAGGCTTCCGCCTCCAAGAGCGAGTAGCAAGCAAAGGTTTAATCATTCGATATGTCCAAAGCATCACTCCTTAAAAGCAACTAACAAATAGTTGTTTGCTATAAATAACTATGTAGCCTTGAGTTCTCCATCACACCTGGAGATACGTAGGAGTAGGATTTTGAAATCTTGTCAGGCACATTAATAAAAATCCCTAAAAATGTTTTCTTTTTTTTTTTCTCGCTCAATAAGCAAAAGATCGCAAATTAACATCACATTAACATTCATTCTAAAATCTAACTAAAAGGTTCTCATTGAGTACAACAGATGTGAGAGATGTTAATACCTTTCCCTTGCGTAATCGACCCCCAAACCCGAATATGGTCACAACTCCCATCTTCTTTTTTGATTTAAGGGTTTTATTGATATTTTCCATTTCCTTCTTTTAGGATTAAATAAAGTTCGGTGGCGAATCTGTTTGAATAAGTTTTCGCGAGCGTGCGAATGCCTTGTGAAGGATCGTATTTTTCGAGATGCGACACAATGAATTTATGGGAAATCCGTGTTTGATGTTATGGTGCTCTATGTTCATGAGTCAATTGATTTAATGATGAGTTTGGGTTGAGATTGGGTGTTTTAAGGTATGACCATAATTAAGTCAATTCATGATAAAAATGTTTAATCAATGAGTAATTGACGTATTAATCATAGTAGGATACATACTCATGTTATAGGATGTATTTGAATGATATAATAATAGTTTGGATGATGTATGAGGGATAGGGAATGAGGAAGATGAAGTTAGTGTGTGAAAACTAGGAATTTTTGGAATTTAGGGTAATGTCAATCAATTGACATCTTGTGTCAATCGATTGTATGCGTGTAAAATCTAAAAAATTGACTCATGACATTCGATTAATTCCTTAAATTAATTGATTGCTCTTAGCAAAAACGTGGAAAAATGGAAAGGCAAAATGTAGTTAGGATTCATGTCAATCGATTGCCCTCGGGTGTCAATCGATTGGTGCTGGTTGATTTTTGAGAAATTTCTTCACTAAAACCTAGTATGTTGTCTGATCAATTTTGTCATAACTTTAGTCTCGTAAGTCCAAATGAGGTATGATTTTAAGCGTTGGAAAGCTGACGTGCATAACTACCTTATGGTAGTGCCTTATGAGATAAATTGGTATGTTTGAGTGATGTGTGGATGTATGTTTAATGCGTGAATATATGTTGTGAAATGCAAGTTTAATTATGTGAACAATTGTACATGCTTGCTGATGATTGATGAGATGAGTAGTTCAGAGTAAGAACTACTGGTGATGCATTGAATGCATGATTGATTACAGTCAGAGAGAGGTTGTATTCATTGTTATGTTGTTGTTGTTAAATGATTGTTTATAGTCATATATGAGGATGTATTCATTTATTGTGTTGTTGTCATTGCATTATTATGGGTCATGCATCATATGTTGTCGTGTTGTGAAAGAGGGGAGTCACAAGTTCATAAAGGGGACTAGTGACTTGTCCCAAGCTCCGAGTGGGGGCTTGAAGCTCAGAGTGGGGCTCAGGGTTCAGAGAGGGGACCCGGTTCGTATGAAAAATTATTTGTTGAGCTGGTACCGCATGCATGAGTTAAGTCGATGTTACATTGCATTACATAATGGTTGTGTATATGAGATGTTTGAGTGTTGTTGAATACTCTTGTATGGATTCATGTGATTTTGAATGTGGTGAATAACATTGTAATTGGTGATTGATTGTGATGTGGGTGAAATATGAATACGTGATATTGTGGGGCATGTTTGATATGTGTATGATCTGTAATGTGTGAATCTACCCTGATGTTTTGTGCACTGATTATTATTTGAACGTATTCTCACCCCCTTTTTATGTTGTTGCGTATGTGTCCCTCTAGAATACAGACAATCAAGTACCTTAATAAGAGTTTGATGTAGAGCATAGTGTTGTGCCTCTTTAATTGATTGTCGATCGAGTTGATAGTTGGACTCACTCTCATATGTAACACAAGGGGGTCAGCTATTCTTTTATTTGTTTTATATTGCATATCTTTCCTTTGATTTTGATGTTTAACCATTTTTCAAATTTATTGTTGTTGAAATTTTGTGCCAACTATTTTATAATTTTCATTATTTATCAAATTATTAATTTTCAATTATATGATTCATGAGTGTTTGTTGCGGTATGAGTAGCATCTTATTTAAAAGATATGTGTGTTATATATATGTTATATTTAATTATTTATCAGAATGTGAAAGTAAAATGTTTCAGAAACACCCCTATTATACAAAGTACCTCGTACCTTTATTTTTTTTTGTTTAGAAGTGGACAAGCAGATAACTATACCACTAAGAATCAAAACCAAAATAAGAAGATAGAAATAAAGGAGGAAATCAAATTGAATTCTCTAATAAAATTTGAATCTAAAGCCGACAATCATAACTTGATTTTGACTACATTATTATGGATAGAGTTGATACGATAGATTAAGAATGAACACAATGGAGAGAAAGATGAAAACCAATAAGAAAATGGGCACATTTATTATCTTTTCTATGTATATGTGTGCAAGGTTGGATTTGGACCCGTTCAACCTGACCCGTTGTATATAATCTAAAAGATATCAAGATATCGAGGCCAAAATTCTTTTTAAAAACTATAATTAATAAATAATAATATATAAAATTTGTTGCAGCAAAAGTTAAATCCTTCAGCCTATATTAATTTTTAAAAAATTTAGATATTTTGAAATATAAATAAATAATTAAAAATCCACAGCTAATACAGTATATTATTAAAATATATATAAATAATATATTTTTTGCTTTACTTTGTAATATTATTTATAATATAAATAATATCCATTTATTTTGTCATTGATTAAATGTGATTAATCTACGCAAAACCTCCAATAATTTGAGATAGTTCTGCATCTAATACTTTACAGAATTAAAATTTGTTTTTAAATGAGATTTATTGTTTGTTAAGAAAAAAATGTTGAATAACGACACAGCATAGAAAAACAAAGACAACAGCAACAACACCTCCATAAATTATACATTTAGGTGTTATTACTAAAGAAGGAGCAAGTGAAATGAGTTTTACTAAGATGAATACAAAATTTTGGTTTGAAGGAATTGATAGTTATTAGGTGAAACAGCAGCTAAAATAAGAAAGCCACCAAAGAGAGCAAGAGAGAGTCCTAAAGTATTTACAAGCATGGACTCTGTGTTGTGTTTGGATACATTTCTCTGTGTTTGCAAGAATGTCAACTTCTCTAGTAATCCAGTTTCAGCCGTTGCTACTGCCAATGCATAAGTGTATAGACCAACAAATACATGCCAAGGTAACATCATTTTCCTCACTCTTCGCACTTCTCCTCGGTGCCAAAAGTTCGAGAACCCTATTAGCCACTGCAATATACAGAAAATTTAATGGTATTGCACTAACACTGTAATCTCATCAAAATTTTATTTCATAAATATATCGCATACGACAAGTATATTCAACCTTATCTAGAGCGCGTTGATTTTGATCAAGTTATCAAAATCATGTCCTACTTCAATTTTGGAGACCCAAAACACACTTTCTTCAAACCGATGAACATACCGTAATACTAAAGGACGTGTACATATTATTGGGTCTACTTATTGATGGTAAGACGACAATGGTGTGACCAACTTAGCCAGCTCAATATGTGAAAAACTTTTGCGTGTCAACTTGTTAGATGATACTCTGAAGGGTTAAGGTGTTTTACTTACGCGCCTTAAAACTCATTAATGAAATATGATATTACTTGAAAATTCTACTAAATAAGAAAAAATAAATAAAATTAGATGTTATATTTGTTGGTGCAAAGATAGAATAAATGATGAAAATAGGGAAATATTCTATTAAAGAGAATAACGGCAGAAGAAACAGGATTAAGAGTTACAATGATTGTCACCCTATTTATAGGCTAAAACTAGGGTTACTAGAATAAGATAAAATACTAAAATACTCTCTAACAAACTTATAGGCTTAAGAAAATAATATAATAAAATATGAATTATTACTAATACCATCCCTTAATTCATATTCCATCAAAACTTGTAACACCAATTCCATCCCTTAATCTGAGAAATTGATCAGTCTTGATAGCTTTCGTCAGAACATCTGCCAACTGCTTCTGAGTGCTGCAGTGTACAACTTCTAACACTCCACTCTGAACTTGATGTCTCAGAAAATGATACTTGGTCTCAATATGCTTGCTTCTCCCATGCAGCACTGGGTTTCTGGCAAGGTTGATTGCAGACTTGTTGTCAATCATCAACTTCAGAGGTTTGTCTACCTTAATCTTCAGATCCTGCAACAGATTCAGAATCCACACAGCTTGGCATGCAGTAACAGCACCTGCAATGTATTCAGCTTCACAGGTTGACAACGCCACAACAAGTTGCTTCTTGGAACACCAAGAAATGGGACCTCCCAGAAATTTGAACAAGTACCCAGATGTACTTCTTCTGTCAACTCTGTCTCCACACCAATCAGAGTCTGAATAACTCAGAAGTTCTGACTCATTATTTCCTCCAGAGGGAAATAACACTCCATACTTCAGAGTTCCTTTGATATACCTCAGAATCCTGACAGCAGCTTGGTAATGGGACCACTTATGTTTACTCATGAACCTACTAACCATCCCAACTGAGTAGCAAATATCAGGTCTGGTATTGCACAGATACCTCAGAGAACCAACCAGCTGTTTGAAGGTTGTAGCATCCACATCCTTTCCTTCAGAGTCTGAATCCAGTTTCTGATTTGTATCAGAAGGTGTGACAACCATCTTACAATTCTTCAGATCAAATCTCTTCAGAAGTTCTAATTCATACTTGAGCTGATGCAAAATGATACCTTTCTCAGAATATCTGAACTCCATCCCTAGAAAGTATGTCATTTTGCCTAGATCAGTCATTTCAAATTCATTCATTAGAACCTTCTTGAACTTGGCTATCTCCTGTTCAGAACTTCCAGTCAGCAGTATATCATCAACATATAAACATACCAGAGTCATATTGCCTTCAGGAGTATGCTGAACATAGACACCGTACTCCATCTCACATTTCTGAAAGCCTTGCTTCTTGAAAAATGAATCAATCTTCTGATTCCAAGCTTTGGGCGCTTGTTTCAATCCATATAGAGCTTTGTATAATCTGTACACCATCCCTTCCTGATTCTTTTTCACAAATCCAGGAGGTTGTGACACGTAAACTTCTTCTTCTAATGGACCATTCAGAAATGCAGATTTTACATCTAAATGCATCAGAGGCCAATTCCTGTTAGCAGCTATTGCAATCACCATTCTGATTGTTTCATGTCTTGCTACAGGTGCAAACACTTCAGAATAATCCAGCCCAGGTTTCTGTAGAAATCCTCTGGCTACCAACCTTGCTTTATGTTTGCCAATTGAGCCATATGGCTTTAACTTCTGCTTGAAAACCCATCTGACGCTGATGGCTTTCTTGTCTTTTGGAAGTTCTGCCAGCTTCCAAGTCTTGTTTCTCTCTATAGCATCAAGTTCTTCTTTCATGGCCTTCAGCCAGAGCTTCTGCTTAAGAGCCTCCTCTGTACTTATAGGTTCAGAGTCTACTAACATGGCACACTGAATAACTTCTCCTTCAGAGTCTACTTCAGTGTCTTGCAGCATGTCAAATTCTGCAAATCTTCTGGGAACGCTTCTGATTCTTTGTGGTCTCTGAACTTGTTCAGAGTCTTGAGCTTCAGAGTTTCTAGCTTCAGATGATTGACCTCCAGAGCTTTGACCATCTTCAGAGTCTGACATATTTCTAGAGTCTGAATTGCCACCAAGATCTGGATTGTCATCAGAGTCTGAATCATCAGAGTCTGGGTCATCTGGGTCACCTTCATCTTCTGAGTCTTCTTCAGAGTTTGAATCAGTATCAGAGTCAGAGTCAATATCAGGGTTTACTTCAACTTCAGAAATTCTTAACTCTGGCCTTTCTTCAGAGGTTCTAACATCAAAATCATGAGACTTATCCCAATTCCAAACTTCTGATTCCTTCACAATCACATCTCTGCTGAATTCAATTTTATTGGTTTCTGGACAATAGAGCTTGTATGCACCTGTACTGTGGTACCCTATCAGAATCATCACTTTGCTTCTATCATCCAGCTTCTGTCTTCTGGCTTCTGGAACATGTTTATAGCAAACAGAACCAAATACCTTCAGATGACTAACACTTTGCTTGTCTCCAGTCCACTTCTGCATAGGAACTATTTCCTTCAACTTCTTCGTAGGACATCTGTTGAGTACATACGTTGCAGTGGCAACAGCTTCTCCCCAGAGCTTCTGAGGAAGCTTCTTCTCCTTTAGCATGCTTCTCACCATATCAAGCAAAGTACGGTTTCTTCTTTCAGCAAGACCATTGTGTTGAGGGGTATAAGGAGCAGTAACCTCATGCTCAATTCCATTCTCCTCACAGAACTTCTGGAACTCTTTGGAGTTATACTCACCTCCACCATCAGTTCTAAGAATCTTCAACTTCTGACCACTCTGATTCTCAGCCTTCATTCTGAACTTCTTGAATTCATCAAACACCTCGTGTTTGAACTTAATAAGGGATACCCATGTCATTCTTGTGAATTCATCAACAAACAACACAAAGTATTTGTTCCCTCCAATTGATGCTACTGGAAATGGACCACACACATCAGAGTGTACAACTCCCAAGGCATGTTTTGCTCTTGGAGCAACTTCTGATGCAAATGGCAATCTTGGTTGTTTTCCTTCCATGCAAACTTTGCATGACTTTTCAGGCTTCTTAATTGCAGGAATTCCATGTACCAATTTCTTTGAATTCAGATGTTGTAAGCTTCTGAAATTCAAATGACCAAATCTTCTGTGCCACAGCTCACTCTCCTTCTCAGTACTTGTTGCACTAAGACACTCTGAGTCTGCAGTTCTGACATTCACCTTGAATGTTCTATTCCTTCCCTGTTCTGACTCCATAATCAACTTCTGATTACAGTCATACAGCTTCAGAAGATTGTCCTTCATGGTAACTGAGAAACCTTTCTCAATTAATTGTCCCACACTCATTAGATTGCTTCTGATGCCAGGTACATACCACACATTCTGAATCAATGCTATTTTTCCATTGTTCAGAGTCACTCTGACATTTCCCATACCTTCTGCATTAAGATATTTGTCATCAGCACATCTGATCTTTGTTCTCTTTTCAGAGTCAAAGTCAACCAGCCATTTCTTGTTTCCAGTAAGATGATTTGAACAGCCAGTGTCCATATACCACCAGTCTGTCAGATCATCAGATTCAGAGGCCATCAATAGCACAGATTCGTCATCAGAACTTCTGGCTATATTTGCTTCTTCTGATTTCTTCTCCTTGTTTGACCAACAATCTCTAGCAAAGTGACCAAACTTCTTACAACAGTAACATTGGATCTTCTTCTTGTCATACTTCTCTTTTCCCTTCTGAGCATTCTTTTGTCTATCAGAGGTTGAGGTTTCTGACTTCTGACCACCATCAGATCTTCTCTTGGCTTCTGACTGCTTCTGATACCTCCTATCAGAAATTGCTTTCAGAGCCTACTGCTCTACTTCCCTTTCAGAAGTTCTCTCAGTCAAACGCAACTCTTGCGCTTCTAAACTGCTCTGCAGCTCTTCAATTCTCATTGTGCTCAGATCTTTGGAATGTTCTATTGCTACCACAATGTAATCAAATTGAGGAGTAAGGGATCTCAATACTTTCTCCATGATTGTTTCTTCAGAAAGAGTTTCTCCACATGCCTTCATCTCATTAGTGATCAGAATCACTCTGGAGATGTATTCAGAAACTTTCTCATTATTCTTCATGTTGAGATTCTCATATTGCTTTCTCAAGGACTGAAGCTTCACCTTCTTCACTGATGCGTCACCACCATAACATCTCACCAGTGTGTCCCATGCAGCCTTTGCTGTTGTAGAGTCTGCAATCTTCTCAAACACGTTTACATCCACACATTGATGAATGAAGAACAATGCTTTCTGATCCTTCTTCCTTACTTCCTTCTGCGCGTTTTTCTGTTCATCGGTTGCATCTGCTGCTACTGGAACATAACCATCAGTGACAAGATCTAGAACATCTTGAGCACCAAATAGTACACGCATTTGGATCATCCAACGATTCCAGTTTTTACCATCAAATACTGGAAGTTTGGTGTTCATGTTGCCGTTTCCGTTCATCTTCTACTTTGCACAATACACTCAGATTTCTCACACAGTGTTTCCCAACCCACAGAATAAAATTCTGATCAGATTTAGAATAAATGATGAAAATAGGGAAATATTTTATTAAAGAGAATAACGGCAGAAGAAACAGGATTAAGAGTTACAATGATTGTCACCCTATTTATAGGCTAAAACTAGGGTTACTAGAATAAGATAAAATACTAAAATACCCTCTAACAAACTTATGGGCTTAAGAAAATAATATAATAAAATATGAATTATTACTAATAATATTATGCTACTAATCGGTTACAATTGAGTTTGTGTCAGAAAATAGGAATTTAGTTGATGCACGCCAACAAGTTTCAACATCTAACCCCTAACAAAAGTACCAAACCACTTACACAAAATCCCCTACCCAACAAAATTACCAACCCACGAACACTCAAACCAACAACTAATATATACCACACACCTAACCACAAAACCAATAGCATAACCCATACCACCAACAACCACATGATTATAATCAAAACATCCAAGAAACATATGACACCAACATTTTCTACCACAGTCAAAACACTCAAACATCACAATACCAAAACACCCAACATACATATGGCTACCAAACACCATAACAATCATTTCTTCCTTTCTCCAACAAAGCATTCACACCAATATCATCATTCAATCAACCAGATTGCCTACCAATAACCTCATCAACCTAAACAACACAACTAAACTATAATAACATGGGCAAGAAACTCAATTATGGTAACGTGTTCATGCAATCACAAGACTACGTAGAATTATAAGAAATTCTTAGAGATAATGGTGATGATAATGATCCAAGGACCTCGTAACAAATACCTCAGCAGGTAAATCGACATAGACATGTCCGAAAAAATGTACCTTGGGGTGTGGAACGAGTGACCTCTATGATTAGTGTAAAAAAAAAAATCTCGCATGTAATCTAATTTAAGCTAACAAATATTAATATTTAATCAATTTTTATTTTATTAACTAATTATTTTAATTAAAATAAAAAAATAAAAAAATAAGGATGCACCAAATGAATTGACGCCCTCTTTAAAGATCAAATTTAAGCGCAAATTCAATTGACTTGTCTTATTAAAAATGCCAACTGAATTGACTTGACTTATTGGAGGTACCGATTCGCCTAACTTGCCTTCTAAAACGTTAAATAGAGTTGTCACTTCAATTGACATGAGCTCTTCACATAATTTTTTTTTAATTTAAAATATGGATAGATTGAAAAATAGTATGGAAACTTAATTATTTGTGTATTTTAATTGAAAAACATGATTATTAAAATAAAATAAAATAAAAAACAATTTGTTGATCATTCCATGAAATCTAAAAATAAGACTCTGTTCTTTTCTATTTGTCACATCTCCCTTATTAATGTTTCAGTTGTACCCGTTAACAACATATTTAATAGTTAGCAACATATTTAATGTATTGAGTGTGACTCGTGCCCGAATTCAGATATCGTACGTAAAATAAATTCACAACAAAACTTCAAGTAATTATATTCCGTAAATTTAATGGACCAAACGGATAGCAGTAACCGCATCCGGTTCGATGGTTCGTCCAGTTTATTCCGGTTCAAACCGGATTCACTGCTAGATCTCGGTTCAAACTGACAGGCGGTTAACTAAAACAGACGAACCGCAACTAAACCGGCCAGTTTGGTTCATTTCTAAAAACATTAATAAAAACAAAATAGGTTAATATTTATAAAAACTAAATTTCTCGATGAACAGGTGTCAAAATATAATTGGCTCACCTAAACAAAAAAGAATAATTTAGAAAGAAAGGATGAAAAATGAAGAAAAATACCTGAGCTCCAAAGAGGGATACACAGATGAAACCCATCCATGAATGCAAACTATAGAAATTAGCCACAAACCCATCCTTTCCCTGAAACTTAGTCCAAATTCCAAAGATCCCACAAGATAAAGCCAACCCTTGAAGCCATAAATGCACTAATTTCTTCAACCCCTTAGACCCAGGTAACCATCTATGCACCAAAATTGCTGCACAATATTCACCATCAACAACAACTAGTACTACAAAACAAACAAAATAAATGTATTGCTGAAACTACTACTACTTCTACCTTCTCCACTTAAGAGGATAAACCCAATGACCATGAGCAAAGGATGAAGAATCTGCAATTAAAAGTAAAATAAATAGGATTTTACAGAGAAAGAAATTAAGAAAGTAGTGCTTACTGAATAGATGAGATCTTGTTGAGGAAGTGAAGGATTGAGGAAGCTGGATTTGAAAGAGAGAGTCCAAAAGAGAACAAGAAATGCTACTGCAACACCGGAAACTCTTGCTAGAAATACCAAACTCCACATATCTGCCCACAACTCTTAGATCCACTTCCACTCAGGAGTATATGTTATACCATTATTGTATAGAGATTAAGTGACTTTAGATTCTTGATTACAAGTGCTCTTCAAATATTTTTTTTTAAATTATTAATTATTATTATAAGTCTTTTAAAGTGTTGTACCACACTAGTTGCCATTTTTCTTTGTAAACATAAAGATTAAATATATTTTTCGTATTTCTAATTATATATGTTAAATACAATATACCCATTTTGTTTTAGGCCCATTTTGGTTTTTGGTCCTAATGCTCTTTTTTTTTTTATGGTTTATTGAAAGAGGATTTTTTTTTTTCATTCTTACATATGGACGACCACTCATATGAAAGGAAATTTCATCTTATACCCTTACACTTATACTCATACCCCTATAATTTTAAAAAAATATCAATTTTATCTCTGTATATTTTTTATTATTTTTTTTCACTTTTTACTGTGTCACATTTTTAGACTTTCGAGAAATTCTCCAATCGAGCTTACCGGAACACTTTCAAAATGATTTTTGATATGTTGTTTTTCCCAAACCGGAAGACTTTGGCAAAGAGTTCCGGTTTACACTGTACCGGAAGATTTTATCAAAGACTTTCAGTTTGCGTTTTTCGTAGAAGTTTACCGGAATATTTTTCTTAAGAGTTCCGGTACTTGTAAAAAGTGTATCGGAACACTTTTTGCAAGTCTTCCGATTTGCAAACTTTGCCTACCGGAACCCTTTTCCTGAGTCTTCCGGTTTGCATTTGTAATTTTTTTATAAAAAAAAAAATTTATGCAGGTTCAAAAATTCATTTACAAATATGCAATAAAGATCAGATATGTGTAGATACGTCTGATGTTTTTTCAACTACTCAAAGATTTGGTACACGCGAAGAGGTGATAAGATGGATTAAAGAGATCGGAATCCGAAATAAAGTAACGGTCATCATCACTCGTTTAGATATTGAAACGGGCAAGAGAGGAAGAAGTAACAAATTAATATTTGGATGTGATAAAGGAGGAAAATACAAAGATATTGATAGTGGAACCCAGAGTGCGATAAAAAAATGTGGATGTCCATTTAGAATCAGATCAATTCCAGGGACTGATGGATCTAGATGAAAGATTGATGTAAAATGTGGAGTTCATAACCATGATTTACCTGATAGATTAGAAGGTCACGCATTTGTTGGTAGGTTGACAGCGGATCAGAAGTAACATGTTGTTGATTTGACAAAGAGAAAGGTTCCACCTAGACATATATTGCTTTCATTGCAAGAGCAAGATCCAAATAATGTCACTCGAATCACGCAAATATACAAGCAGAAGAGTATGATAGAAAAAAATATAAGAGGTCCTATAAGTGAGATATAACATTTGTTTAAGCTTATTAAGGATGCATGTTATGTTTATTGGAGTAGAAAAAGAGATGACTCTGAAGTTATTAGAGATATATTTTGGGCTCATCCAGATTCAGTTAAGTTGTTGAATATTTTTCCTATTATGTTAGTTATGGATAACACTTACAAGACAAATAAATATAGGCAACCTCTGTTTGAAATTGTTGGTATGACATTAATCGAGTTGACTTTTGCTGACACATTTGCCTATATTGAGTCTGAGCAGACTGAAACTTTTTATTGGGTGCTAGATAAACTTAAACAATTGTTTGTGAAGAAAGAGTTGTGTCCACAAGTGATTTTGACAGATAGAGATCTTGCTTTGATGAAAGCCATTGAAATTGTCTTTCCAAGGTCGATCAATTTGCTATGTCGATTTCATATTAACAAGAATGTTGGTGCAAAACAGAAACAATATTTGGCTAGTGACATGCAAAAGAAAATTGACGAATTATGGATGGATGTTGTATGGGCTAGTGATGAGGTTGAGTATGATCAAAGGTTGAACCAACTTGAGCAGACGTGTGTTGATTGTAATGAATTTATTAATTATGTGAAGGACACATGGTTGACACCACATAGACAAAGATTTGTTGGAGCATGGATTAATTGAGTGCTACATTTGGGTAACACCACGACTAGTCGGTATGTATTTATTTTTAGTATTTCTAAATTGTATATTTTTTTTGAATTTTTTTTAAATATTTTTAATATGTATTAATTTTAGGGTTGAGTCTGCTCATTGGAAGTTAAAGTAAATGTTGGGGAACAATATTGGTGACATGGTCAAATGTTGGGAGGCTATGAATGACAACTTAAAGTTACAATTGGGAAATATTAGAGCTTATTTTAAAAAGAGTTTTTATGAAGTTGAGCACGCCCACGTAAGTCCATTTTATAATAATTTACGTGGTTCAGTGTCTCGAGATGCATTGAGACGCATTGCTAAAGAGTTAAAACGAGTTGATTATGTTGGAACTAACAAGGAAATATGTCGTTGTACTCATAGAACAACCTACGAATTACCTTGTACTTGTGAGTTGACAGGATATAGAATTGATGGTATACCGATACCAATAGATGTTGTGCATGTTCATTGGAGAAAACTAAGTATGGAAGTTAAGTTGGATGAAGACGTAGATGATGGATCAGAGGTGGATATGAGTAATGCAATAGATGAGTTATGGAAAAGGTTCAAGTCTCTGGATGTTGTTGGAAAAAGGGCATTAAAAAGTAGGGTTTTTGAACTTGCCTTCCCCATAATGACTTCTATGTGTCCACCACTTGAGAAAATAAAAATTAAAGGGGAAGTCAAGAAGAAAGACAAAAAACCAGTAGGGTATGATGTTTATAGAGACCCTTCGTATCACGAGTATGTTGATCAAGCATCTCAATCTTCACAGAGGCAATCTCAACCATCACAAACTTCGAAGAAGTTGAAATTATCATAGTCTTCACAAAAGAAATCTCAATCATCACAAGCTTCGAAGAAGTTGAAATTATCACAATCTTCACAGTCATCTAAGCAGTTCATCCTTCAGTTTCCTAATCACATCAGGTCATATATTGATGATGTAGTTAATATTGTATCAGATGGTAATTGTGGATTTAGAGTCATTGCTTCATTGCATGGATATGGTGAAGATGGTTGGCCAATGGTTCGTCGGGACTTGGGGTTGGAAATAATACATAATGAAAGATCAAGTTTGTATGCCAATTTATTTACTGATCAGTTAGCAGTAGTGAGAGAATCTTTGATGATAGAGGAATTTGGTCCTCAACCACCACATAAATGGTTAACTCTACCAGATATGGGTTACGTGATAGTGAATCTTTATAATGTTGTACTTGTCTGTTTAGGAATTGAATGCTGGACTTACTTCCCTATGACAACTTCATTTTCACCAAATGTAGCAATTTACTGCATTGGTTTTGTAAACAGAAATCATTGGGTTCAGATACTTAGTTGTTTTTAGATAATGTGATTAACCCTAATTCTTTTTCGTTATTTTTACTTAATATTTTGATTATATTTTTATTTAGGTAAACATGAAAGAAGGGTTTCCATTGCCACCAGTGACAGTAGATTGGAAGAAGTTTCGTTCTCCAGCAGCAGCATCTTGGATGCTAGGATTTGCAGGACGTCTACAACATTGGCAACAACTTACGCCTATATTACCAACGCATTATGAATTATAAATTATGTTACTCGTTTTTAATTTCAAAACATGAATCATGAATTATGTTACTCATTTTTAATTTCAAAACATGAATCATGAATTATGTTACTCATTTTTAATTTAAAAACATGAATCATGAGCTATGTTACTCATTTTTAATTTCAAAACATGAATCATGAACTATGTTACTCATTTTTAATTTTAAAACATGAATCGTGAATTATGTTATTCATTTTTTATTTCAGGCTACAAGTTAACACATAAACATAAATCAACTAGGTCAAATGAGTCTAAAAGTTAACACATAAACATAAACCAATTAGGTCAAATGAGTCTAAAAGTTAACATATTGTTGCACCCCAAAATTTGACCAACCGATTCCTGTATTTGGCTTATGTTTCGATTCATTCGCATTTTGTATATACATATCGCATACAGTGCATTGTTAAGACCAGATTAATTTTGTCGGGATCACAGCCCTCTTCTCGCATTTTCAGGCGATTTAAACCAGTTCGGATAAGCGGAGTTTTATTTTTTGAGAGTCGTGCTCTTCCCGGTGTTTTCAGCTTACGCTGTTGTCTTGAGGATATTTCGGTGTCCGTATATTTTTACCGTTTATTCCGTTGCGTTCTCGCAGTCTCTTTTTTCGATTTGAATTGTTTTTGTTCCTTTTGGAATTATTAGCATTCCTCTAGGATTTACTTCGTTAATTGATTAGTTTAGAAACTATTTTAGATCTTTAATAGTTTTCTTTAGTAATAGTTTTTAGAGCTATTTCTTTTAGAATGTTTTATTTAGTGTTAAATAGATTGTTAATATTTGTTTAGATATTAGTAAACTTTAGTAAAAATAATTCTTTCAATATTTCTTTTAGATATTATTTTAGGATAATATTTGATTTTTGTTTTATAGGTTAATAGATATTAAATAGATTTTAATAGGTTTAAATAGATTTTCTATTTTCTAGAAATTGATTTGTTTTAGAATATATTAGGTTCATTAATTCCTTTTAGGTTTACTAATCCTTTGTTAGATGTTTACTTAGGATTAATTAATTAGGATAGATTTTAATCAGTTTTAGAATTAATTGAATTTGGTTTAAAGAATATTAGAGTTCTGTGTTAATCCCTGTTTAGTTAGTATTAAGCCAGATTTTTAGTAGTTTTTGTTTTTAGTTAATGGTCATTAATTCAGTCTAATTGAGTCTTTAGTCCAGCTAATTCAGATTTTTAATCAGTCCATTGAGTAATGCATTTTGTGGGCCACATGTCTGTTTTTGGAGGCCCAGTTAGTCCGGTCCGCCACTTGTCACATATATAAGCACTCCACCTCAGCCTCTCTCTCTCTTCCACGTTTTCCACCCTTTTCTCTCTCGCTGACACCTCATTTTCCACTATCTCTCCCTCTCTCTGCATGGA